TTTTAGTCCTAGCTTCTAGTGCTGCATGTCTTTCTCTCAATCCCGCATCATATCGCCCATTTTCTATTCACATAATTATGTTTATTCCAATGTGTCCTAAGAGTGTGTGGCTACGAATGGATTTAGTGGTGCGTAATCATCCCCAACACTGGTTCCAGATGCCGTTTGCAGGGCTTTTGCTTTTCATTCAATCCTCCTTACATCCCGCTTTTTAAGTGGTCGCTGCTACACATTAAAATCCTTGCCTAGCTGTCTTTGAGCTGGTCTCGATTTACGTGATATTGGAGGATTCAGAGTCGGTGATGCTCATGCCTAGACATCTCCCTCTCCCTATGCTCAGATTCATCATCCAGTGGTCTTTTTCCTCATCCCCACTCCCAGAGCAGCTCATTCTTTGGGGCTCCGTGTCCGGATAAATTCGGAAACACCGGTGTGAAAATCTACCGCTTTCTTTTACCACTCCTGAATCAGGAAAAGCACACTCCTTTTGCCTCTCAAGTTTACAGTCTGATGTAGTCACAGTGCATTTAAAAGCCAGTCTTTAATGCACAAGCTGGTGGATACACCTTCCTTTTAGTCAGACATGCCATTAGTCACCTCACATTAAGGCACGCACCCGAAAAATGTCCATATTCACACTAGTGACCTATCTCTGGCACATAAATACCTTTAAGTACCTCTAATGGAGCATAAACTGTTGCCTCTGGCTCTTAAATTACTATCTCACATACAGGTGGACCAACACTGATAAAATTTCAGGCTAATTATATTCTTGCATCGATTCCTAGCATTGGACCATTGATTTGGTACATTCCTAAACCTTTCGCCGGCATCGTCACTGAGAGGTGCTATGGTTAGAATAGAGTTAAATTTATCAATGACATGTGGGGGCAATCCCCTTGACCAATTTTCCGTTCAACCGTTGTGACATCAATCCTCGTCCCCATTTTTGTTCTACCTTCTATGCCACATCCTTCTCTCACTCCCACTTCATATGGCCAATCCAATTATTCCTCCAATCTCGCAACAAGTGGGTTTAGAGAAGCGTAATCAGCTCCACCACTGTTACCAGATATCGTTGGCAGGGCTCCTGACCTATATTCTGCCCCCTCTTTATTCCATAGCCGCTTGTCAATTGGCCGCTGCAAAGCCTCAAAATCACCTATTAACCGTCTGAAACCTGGCTGCCTAATAGCCTTCAATTGCTGTCCTAGATTACGGCATATTTGAGGATTTAGATCGGATGATGTCTATGTCCATGTATATGCCAGTACGTAAAAATATTCTTCTCGCTAGGCTTCAAATCCATGATTCGATTATCCCCTCCTTCGTCCCCATCCACATTGTGTCTAATTCTATGAGACCCTATCTCTGGCTTAAATCATAACGGCTGATGAGAGGATGCACATCTTGCTTTTTTTGAATCGCGAAAAGCACACTCCTCTCGTCTCTCAAGTTGACATTCCTATCTAGTCCTAGGGTACTGGGCTGATGCTCCTGTGTTTATGTGTGTGTCTTGGCTGGTATCCCAGTAGTCAAGCCTGTTTGACTCCTTTCACTGCAATCACACCTTCCTTTTTTTTGTACATTCTCTCCTGTTTGTCACCACTGTGGCACCTATTTTGTCAACTTGTAGAACTGTTTGATCACTTATTTTCAATTCTCTATATATTTTGGTTATATTGCTCCTATAAGTGAGTTTTTGATCCGCAAGGATTGCTGGGATGATTTCCATATTAAGCTCTATTTTTTATTCTCTAGGTAACTTCCCAGAGGCATTTATCACCTCCACTAAGATGTCCCTTATTTCCTTACGTTCACTCCGAAGTGCAGTATTCATTTCCTTCTTGATAATCGCCGTCGTTACGAAGTCAAGAGGAAAATAAGATAAATTCACTACATAATCTTCATCTTTTGTGTGGACTGTGAGTTTCGCCATTCTAGAAGCATCTTCGTTATGACTCAGAGATTAGATCCTGGATTGCCTATGCATCCCATTTATTCAGCTTCTTCTGGTGCCCTTCTTCGATTAAGTCTGAGATCTTCTTCCACATTTTATCTATCATCTTTTGTAGTTTCATGAAATCCTCCGGGGTAAGAATCTGACTTAAATCATACCTGACGATGTAGCGTGGTATTAACATATCGAGATTATAAGCCAAGTTTGATCTCTGCTTAAGATGCTGATGAGACCTAGGTAATGTCGAAACTGCAGTCCACCTTGAATGAGATTACCCTTTGGGAAGCAAGACTATGTAAAATTCCATAGAAACGCGAGGTCCAATTATACTATCGTTGTAAAATTAGAAAATATAAATGCTTCATAGTGTTGGTTCGACATTATTTTTGCAGCTTTGTTGGAGCGTCAGGGAGACCTTGTCAAACGTACTTAGTCCCTTGTCCTTTGATATAGTATTCGTCATTTCCAGCATTACACCATTAACTGGGTACATTCTCAAACGTTTCGCGGACAGCGTCAAGAAGAGGCGCCATCGTAATCACAGAGTTACAAGTTGCTCTATCAAAATATGCGATTAAAACTCAAAGACTAACTCTACATTAGCAACTAGTATAGCATACTACGATTGTAAGAGGGCTGAGTTCACTCTTGGTCGCATAGGGTAATGAAGGAAAGATAGTTGACTTTTCCCATAGTGATATGAGTAGGTTTCAAATTTACATTGAATTTCACAATCTGCTCGAAAAATCTACTGTTGTATTTATAATATATCAAAAGTTGCAATATCACGACTTTATAAAAGACGATATTTTGACAGAACAGTCTCACAAAATTCTGAAGATTCATTAAGTTATTACAAACAACATTTCCCAAATTATACTTAAACTGTACAAATAGTTGTCGTTAAGATATGTAACCTTAAGAGAGGAAAATAGTCACTTTAAAATTAGATAGAGCTATGGAAGAACTTAAGAATTTACCGTTGATAGATCTCCGAATGAAGCACCCGCGAGGTCCTGGGCGGAACAGGAATGAATAGTGGCGAAGGGCTACGCTGCAGCGCGATTTGTGGAGTTGGTGCTAGTTGCAGCGTAGCAACTGGGGCCTGCAAAGCTGAGGCTGATGCTACTGGGGCTGACATTGGTAGTTGTGCTGAGTGGTGTTGCGACATACCAGTCAGAAGGAGGCCACCAGGTGATGAAACCGGGTGATTATGACCAGAAGGTTGGCCAACATGGACGAGCCCAGCACCTATCTGTGGGGCAGTGGCGCCATGAGGCAGAGGAGAGAGAATAGCTACTGGGCCAGTTTGGCCAGGCACGTTAGAGGGCAGAATGGGACAAGTTGCAGAGATCGGGACTCCAACAGGTGGCAATCCAGTTGGAATACTTGAAACGACATTAGTTGAAGGCGGTGCCAGACTTGAACGAGCAGGAGTCAAAGCAACTACGAGGGCTGAGGGAAAATGGTAGAGGACTCTTAATGGTAAATGAGCATTACCTCCAAACAGGATCGTATATAATAAATAAATCATTTATCCTTAGGCTAAAAGGAAGACAGAAATACAACGATAACTGAAACAGTCTTGCGACCGTAAGGAACAGACGCGTGGTTAGAAAACAAGGAGAGCAGGACGAAAGTCAAACAATAAAGACTATTGAAGTTGTTTGACCTTGTTTTCGCAACTTGGTCATAATGGTAGGAAAACTGATAGAAACGCACCTTGTCC